TTTTTCCATTTTACTTATATATGTGGGTGTATTGTCTGCACGTATGTCTGTTCATCACTTGCCTGCTGTGGAGGCCAGAAGAGGGTATCCAATCAGAAACTGGAGTTAGAGTTGTAAGCTGCTGTGTGAGTGCCAGGAAATGAACCCAAGATCTCTGGAAAAGCCATCAGTGCTCCTAACCAATTTCTTTTTCTTTTTCTTCCTGTGCATTGTTGTTTTGATTGCATGTATGTCCATGTAAGGGTGTCAGATCCCTGGAGCTGGAGTTACAGATAGTTGAGAGCTGCATTGTAAGTGCTGGGGATTGAACCCAGGTCCTCTAGAAGAGTAGCCAGTGCTTTTAAATGCTGAGTCATCTGTCCAGCCTCCTAACCATTTTTCAAGTGCACAGTTAAGTACATTCTTAGTGTTCAATCATAAGAGACTTGTTTAACTTGCTAATTGTGATTCTTGGTACCATTCTAATCTTTCATTCTTGAGGTGAAAACATGAGTGTTGGGGACATTAAGGGATTTATTTAGCTTCCTGTCTGCATGGGAAGGGGCCATTCAGGTCAGTCACACCTCAGGGATTTCTGGGCCTTTCTGGGCCTTGTTCCTGGTGTCTTCAGCAATAAAGACCTTCTCGGGAACAACCAGTGGCAACGGGAATAGACTGTATGTTTTGAGAGTTCCTAGACAGTCCTGGCCAACGATTCCAAAGAAGGGTTTGTCCTGTGTGGTGTTGGGTAGTCTTGGCTCTTGGAGGAAGCACTGTCAACCCAGATGAGAAAAGTTCATTTAAAAAAGAAAATGTATATATTAAAATTATACAAAATTTTACATGTAGACAAGTTTTTTTAGGGTAATTAAATTCCTTGCAACTTTTCCTGGCATCCGTATTATCTAACCTTCCTTCTGTATTTACCCACCTCCCTTAAGGGCATTGTTTTCTCATCTCCCCATCAGATCACATACCATCCCATTCCCCTCTTTGTTGCTTTCCAAGCCCCCTAAGTTATCAGCAAACTCACCACACCCTGGAAAAGACTTAGGAGTGAGGATATGGGCAGCATCCTTTCCAGTGACCACCTAGCAAATGTGTGTAGGGAACTATGGATACATGTTTATGTTTTCTTTAAAGACACAAGCCAAATTGAGTGCTCTAGCCGTAGTCAACTTTGCTTAAAGCCTTCTTTCCTTCCATGTTCTCAGACTAACCTTTTCTTTGCCCAACATTAGTTCCCCTGTGCTTAGTATTGGTCTTGTTAAAGAAAAACACAGTTTGGCCATCAGTGGTAGTGATTTGCCTACCCAGCAGTCTTTGAGTGGTTAAGAGCTAGCTGCTGGGGAAAATACCTGAACCTAGTACTCCTAGGGTCTAGACCCTTACACTTGATGTTCGGCTCCTTGCCACATTTTCGTCTGTCCTTTACTGGGAAATAACATAAGCATCAACTGCTCACCATTTATATTAACCACAGGAATGCATGTATTGCAATATTGACCAAATAAGAGAGTTCAGCTGAGCCTAACCTCTGAGCTAGAAAAACATCATTGAGTAAATCATTAAAGATAGGATTGTGAAGCAACACATTGCTCTTAAACTGTGCCTTCTACAGTTTTTATGAATATTATCTTATCCTTTTACCACACCCTTCTGAATTAGGCATTGAGCTAAAGGTAGAAAGACTGTGATCAAGGCCATGCAGGTCATTTCTCACCAACGAGATAAACCGAGGACTAATCCCAAGAGATACAAGTCAGGGTCCCTTGTTTTTTACAGCCTCTCAAGTTTACCAATCCCTGTGATCTCTCTGTTCTTTGGTGGTAGTAGTCAAGTATTTCTGCTTTATAAATAACTGTTACAGGAAGGACTCCTGTTGAGCAGAAGTAATGTGATTTCAACATTACATGAAGTCAGGCAGATGATTGCAAAGTTTGTGATATATTTACCTGTAAAGATTACATTTGGTCAGGTGTTCAGAACATAATATGATACGTATTAATCACTGAACCAAAATACCTTGTTTTTCCAGTGTTAGAGTGAAGAAATTGTCTGCAGGAAAGAATCTTTCTGCTCTGGGTTCACTGCTAGTTGCCCAGGAAAGTTAGTGTGAGTGCTATATTTGGGCTCTTCTAAAGATGTAGGGCTACTTGAACAATGTCAAGTAAATGTAGAACTAGGCTATTTAAAACAGGCTGACACCATTTTTAAAATTCCAACTCCCCCAAAATGCAGCAATATAATTATCAGGAAGTTAAGATTAACTCTAAAAATTTAATAGCCAAATGCCAAGAAATTAAAAATCATTTGCATTTATTTCCTCTGGAAAAGTAAGTAGTAATTTGGAGACACAGCTAAAAGTGATTTTATGGCTGTAGTTGTAAAGTTAGCCATTTGATGATAGCTGGACAAAGGTTAGTGTTAATGTGCAGGCTCTTGACTCCATGGACACTACTGATGAGCTTCTGCCTATGAGTCCAATCACCTGCAGAACACATCAGATTCAGAGCCTTAAAATATCTGTACTAAGCACATATCACTTGGCCTCCCTTACAGCTACTGTCTTCCAGCTCCTGTGCCTTTGTCCTGATGGTCATGAATTACTCACTCCCAGAGACAGTTCTGTCTCTAGAAACAAAGGCGGATGCGGAGGAACATGTGTTAAGAGATAGTGTGACTCTGAAAGACTCACACAAAAATATTTTTAAAAAATTGGGGTGGGAGTGGTGGCTGGCAACTTGGCTCAGCATATAAAAGTATTTGCCATTATGCCTGATGACCTTTGTTTAATTCCAGGGACATACTTGTTTGGAAGGGTAAAACATACAAATTTTGCCTTCTGACTTCTATATGTATGCTGTGGCACATGTGCACGTAAGAGTGTATTCACACGCACATACATTCTCTCTCTCTTCCTCTCTCCCTCTCTCTCTCTTTCTCTCAATGAAATTAAGAATGTAGTTGGCCATGATAGCACATAGCCATAATCCCAACACTTAGACAGTGGAGGCTGGAGAGGGGGAGTAGTCTCAGCTACACAGAAAGTTTCAGGTGCCCCTGGGAAACAAACAAAAGCCTTGATTTTGTGAGTGTGTTACCGCCTCTACAAGCCAAGCACATAAAAAGCAGAGGCAGGAGGATCAAAGTGGATTTACCCAGGTTCCAGGCCAACTAGGACTATATAGAGAAACCTTGTTCCAAAAAGTTGGAAACAGAAAACAAAATTATTTAAGCCCCACTTTTGCTCATTGAGTATACTGCTGTTCAGCCCCAGAATACAGATGAGGAAGCTAAGGACCAGAGAGATGACATGCCTTTCCAGTAACCCTGTAAATGTCAGAATAGGAGTGGAATTGCATGTCTCGTTTTCCAGCCTCTGTGTCCTTTCCTGTAGCCCCATTGCCAGTGGGAAGACAGCTGATGCAGGCTGTCTGCAGTAAGTCTTCTTACGGAGGCATCCCCTGCTCAGGAGGTAAACGTCAAATGATGGCATCAACATCTGTTCAGCAATCATGTGTGAAGCTACCCTCCATGTTATGTTGTGTTTCGTACATCATCAAATAAGAGTCCCCTAAAGGTCTACAAGCCAAAGGGACGGAGAAGAGTGTGTGAGAGAGAAGCTGCTCATCCAGACGCACAGAGCAGTTGTGAAGCCCCTTGGCTGTCCCTTGCAGGCAATGCCTATGATTGTCTTGAGTCTAGTATTGGCTCTCCCACGACCTTGACCTTGGGGCTTAAGCTCTGGGAGTTTGTCCTGGAGAGCGACAGATAAAGTACGGAGAGTAGCTGCGTTTGCTGCTGCTGTCCTAGGGAATTCGGTGTAGGCTAGCGAGACAGTAATGCTTCCCGCCTTTGCACCACTTGAAGCTGCTACTTCACCATTCCTGTTGTTTGTGCTTCATGTCTGCCTCCTCACTTAGGCTGTCAATCAGAACCTGCTTCTCATTCTGCTGTCTGATAACCCCAAATGCAAGCATTCTTATTGCTGTTTGTGTCCTGTTCATCACCATTAGTGGTTCTCCAGCCAGTTGCTCTTTCCAAAAAAATCATCTGAAAGCCACTGAGTTCTCTAAATACTTCTAAAATGATGCCTGTAATGTAGTGTGTCTGAATTTTTGTCAGTGTTAATAGACTTAAGCTAGTAGTTATTTTAACATGGTTGCCTAGGCCTACAGGAAAAGTGCAGGTTGAGTAAATTCTTTTTCTTTCTTTTTTTTCCCCCACCCCCTGGTTTTTCGAGACAGGGTTTCTCTGTATTACTTTGGAGCCTGTCCTAGAACTGGCTCTCTAGACCAAGCTGGCCTTGAACTCACAGAGATCCACCTGCCTCTGCCTCCCAAGTGCACCAACACCCAGCTCCAAACACATTTTGAATTTTGACTATCCTTAGATTTTGGGACATTTGCATATATTTAATGAGATATTTCAGGAGGGGCCCCAGCTTAATGTCAGAATTCATTATGGTTCAGGCATACAGCCTAAAAGGATGTTTCACAGTATCTTCCGTAGTCTTGCATTTCACAGTTGCACAGAGTGTGATTTTCCACTTTGCCACCATGATATATTTTGGAGCTTTACAGATTTTTGGATAAGGGTTGCTTTGTGTTGACCCTGTGGAGTTAGCAATGTGGCCAGACCTTTTTTTTTTCTTCAGTATTTCTTCTAAATAATTATTTCTGGTTTTAAGTGTAAAAGTATGAGTTTGGAATGTAGCTCAGTGGCGTATACTTTCCCTAGCATGCGCCATGCCCTCTGTGATTTCCTAGCACCATAAAAACAAACGTGTGAGAGATACCAACACTAAACATTCTGTGACTGTGATCGGCTGGCTTCATCATTCTAACTACATTTCCCTTATTGAAGTAAGATAAATGATGGATTTGAAAGTAAATGCCAGTTTTGGCCAGAAAGCCCTCTCTCCTTAAAATATAAATGGCATCTGATACAGTTCATGCTGTAGAAACAGTTCCTTGAAAATGCACATAATAACTTCTTCTTTTTCTTTCTTTGTCCAGTGAGGATTCAGCAGAGGATGCAGCATCAGCAGTAGAGTCTAACCATCCATCAAAGCCCCCACTGGAGAAGTTTATGGTCAAACTGTGCACCCACCACCAGAAGCAATTCATTCGTGTCCTGAGTGACCTGTACACTGAGTCTCAGCCAGGTACAGGGGACCTGCAGCCTTTGGATTCTACAGTGATGGATGTTTCTACTTGCAATGAGGCTTGTGCCCAGCTGAGCAGCAGACAGAATGAGCAGGATGATATGTGTCTCCATGGGGCGTCTCCTGCTTCTATAAATTTGTTCTTAGACTCATCAGGTTCTCCTAGCTCTCTGAGTGTGACTGAACAAACCATGAAGGAATCACCTCCTGAGACAGACTCTGTAGATGGAAGAGAGAATGCCTTGACCATTGTCCAGAAAGAGCCATCTGAACTTCCAGACCCTGAGCCTAACTCCAGAAGGTCAGCAGACAGTCCCACTATGGGATGCCTCACTGGGTTGGATTCTTCCTCTTTTAACTCCCTCCACAGTTCCAAAAGTTTAGAGGGGCAAACCACTGGACAGGAGCAAGACACTACTCTGAAACCTTGTGAGGATGGTGAAGACCATGCCCCAGCCTCAATCAAAAGTCTTACTGCAGTGGAAGTGGCAGCTGAGGATACTGAAGAAGGTGGTGGCTGTATTGTTTCTCAAAGAAACTCATTCAAAGCTTTATCAGAAGAGACATGGGACTCAGGGTTTATGGGAAACTCATCTAGTTCTGCAGACAAAGAGAATGCTTTACAGTGTAGCTCAAAAACACCCTTACACCAGGATTTAGAGGCAGATGAACAGGATGCAAGGCCAAAGCAAGAGAACCATCTTCATTCACTAGGTAGAAACAAAGTGGGTTACCAGACGCAACCCAGTGACAAGGGCCATTTTGATCATTCCAAAGGTGATTGGTTAGCTTCCAGCCCCACACCAGCTGTACACAGAGCATCCAATGGTCACTCACGAACCAAGATGATGTCAGCCTCCATCAAGACTGCTCGGAAGAGTAAGAGGGCGTCGGGCTTGAGGATAAATGATTATGACAACCAGTGTGATGTTGTTTATATCAGTCAACCAATAACAGAATGCCACTTTGAAAATCAAAGGTCCATATTGTCTTCTCGGAAAACAGCCCGAAAGAGTACCCGAGGATACTTTTTTAATGGTGATTGTTGTGAACTGCCAACTGTTCGCACGCTGGCCAGAAATTTACGCTCCCAAGAAAAGGGAAGCTGCTCACCGATAGCGCCAGAGGCAATGGTGACTTCCAAGCAGACTCTTACAGTTCCCACCTCAAAGCATACAGTAGGTATGCAGCTTCCAACAGTAGATGTTCAGCTTCCCACAGTAGGTGTGCAGCTTCCAACAATAGGCATGCAACTTCCCACAGAAGATGTGCCGGTTGTGGAAGATACCTCTGACAATCCTAAGGAGGAAAGAACCTCCCTTGAGGAAGAAGCTGAAGACGTGTCATCAGTAAAAGAGCATCAGGAGCCAGAGGTTTGCCTTACCACAGATGAACAGAACCCTAGCGGCTCCCCTAGGCCAGGAGAGACCACAGCCTCTAACCCAGCATGTCTTCTGTCTGCTCCCATCCCTGATGAGGATGTGCCTGATGTTCCAGAAGGCAGCATTGTAGCCTCACCTCCCACAGCAAGTGCTCTATCTCTCCTTGAGCAAGATCAGTCCCCAGCTTCTCTTCTTGGTGCAGAGGAGATGCATACACTCCAGGAGTGCCACCTGGCTCCCACAGCTGGAAGTACCTCCTTCATCTCTGGGGAAACCAGTGAAGACCTCCTATGTAGACTTCAGAGTTCTCCTGAAACAGTCATGAGAGAAGACTGTTCTCCGTGCTCAGAAAATGGAGGTCCTGCTGTGGGTTTCGATCCTCCCCTAAGTCTAGAACTGTCTGAGCATGATCAAAGCATCAGTACTGAGGCCGAGGCTGGTGACATCCCTGGGGACACTCTGTTGCTAGAAGCCACCCTGCCCCTGCTGGACAGCAGCATTGTCAGTGATGAGAACCCCAGGGAGACTGAAGCAGGTGAGGCAGCAGGTGGAACAGGACAGCTGGAGATGCATGACAGTGATAGAGAATACTCTTCAGAAAATGCTCTGAGTGAGGCAAACTTTGACGCAGCTGAAGAGAATGTGGACAAGAAGAAAAAGGGGAGAAAACTCCCTGAGGCCTCTGACAGGTGCCTACGAAGTCAGCTTGTAGATTCATCCTCTGCTGACAGGTGTCCGGGAAGCCAAGGTGTGGATTCATCCACTGCTTGTCCTGAAGGGAAGGCTTCTAAAGACCCTACTTCTGTAAAGCATTCTAAAAGAGAAGGGCACTCTGGTGGGGCGACACCTGAGGGCTCCGTGATTGACAGTGTCCATGCAGATGAAGTGGGGGACACCGAAACCCCCATTGTCAATGAATGTCCCTCTGATGAAGATACTAAGCAGGAGGGTGAAGGAGCTGGGGTTATCACAAGGCAGACTCTTAAATGCATGCTGGCAAAGGGAGTTAAAAGGGAAGAAGGAGAGACTCCCCTAAGCAGTGACCCTGCCACAGTTGGCCAACCACTGCCTGGGGAGAACCTGGGAATCAATGTCTGCTCCAAAATAGATGAAAGAGATGTATATGTACCCTCAGAAAGCATCCCTTGTAAAAGGGACCCGGAGCAGGTAAAAGAGAAGCCAGGATACGTTGCCACACAGGATGTGGAGGCCGCTGTGAGTGAGGTAGACGCTGAGGATAACCACTCTAAAGATGGTGCTGCCCTTGCTCCATTTAGCTTAGCTCCAGCGTCAGCCGGTCAGAATGGTGATGCTGCTGGGCCACCAAAACTGGTTACAAGGCCAAAGAGATTGCCTTCTTCAACCTACAACCTGAGACACGCTCATTGTGTGGATGCCTTGAACACTGCAAAAGGAACTTCTGAGAAGCAAGTCACACAAGTCAACCCAGCGCCAAAGGAAGACGAAGCTCCCGAGAGTGGGGAGCCCTCAGATGAGGACGATGCAGACACAGTGGTGGAGGAACAGCCCAAGTTCATGGGGTGGTGTGCAGAGGAGGAGAGCCAGGAGCTGATCGCCAGCTTCAACGCCCAATACTTGAAAGTTCAGAAGGGCTGGGTCCAGTTGGAGAAAGAAGCACAGCCCACAGCAAGAGCAAGGAGCAAGTCCGACAAGCTGAAGGAGATCTGGAAGAGCAAGAAGAGGTCACGGAAGTGTAGGGGTTCGTTGGAGGTGCAGAAGTTTTCTCCAGTCCAGATGCTGTTTATGACAAACTTTAAACTATCTAATATCTGCAAGTGGTTCCTAGAGACAACAGAAACTCGGTCTCTGGTCATTGTGAAGAAACTAAATACTCGTCTTCCAGGAGACATCCCCCTTGTTAAACACCCTCTTCAGAAGTACCCACCTTCCACCCTGTACCCCAGTTCACTACAGGCAGAACGCTTGAAAAAACACTTAAAGAAATTCCCTGGAGCCATTCCTGCTAGGAATAATTGGAAAACACAGAAGCTGTGGGCTAAACTCAGAGAGAATCATGGCCAGGTAGAGCCAGAGGCCGGCAGTGACATCAGCCTCAGCCCTAACAGTGAAGACAGTGTGGAGGGAGTCAGGGAGAGTAGAAATAGCCATCCTCCCGTCAGCTTGCCTACTCCAGCTAGCACCCGGATCCTTAGAAAGTATTCCAACATTCGAGGAAAGCTCAGAGCTCAGCGCCTGGACAGCTCCCTGGGTGGGACTCCCGAAATTAAGCAGGGCCGAAAGAGTGTGTGCATCAATCCGCTGATGTCCCCCAAGCTGGCCCTCCAGGTGGGTGCAGATGGCTTCCCTGTCAACCCCAAGAGGGCTGAAGGAAGCAAGGGGAGAAAAGGGAAGCAGATGCCTGAAACCTTGCTTAGAGGGGAAGGTCAGAACAAACGCAAAAGAGCAGAAGGCATTGGCACTCAGGATGATAAGGACAAGGGGCCAGCAGCAAAGGCCAGCAGAGCCTTTTCTGCCAAGAAGCTAGCTGCAAAGGACAGAGTCAGCCAACTATCCAAGAAGATGACCTTGAAAGAGAATAAAGTGAGGGTGTGTAAAAATGCTCCTGGGAAGAGCTGCCCACCGTCCAGGAGAGAAAAAGAAAATGCAAACAAAAGACCTAGCCATCCTGCTGCAGCCTCGGAAGCAAAACCTGCAAAACAAAGGGGGGCAGGAGAAGCCTCATCAAAGCCCCCAAAAGCCAGAAGGAAGAGCAGGAAGCTGAGCAGTGGCAGGGGCCGAGCTAGATCCTTGACAAAAAGCCCAGAGAACCGGGCTGCCCAGAGAAAGAGAAAGCTCAAGGCCAAACTGGGCTCTTCCCAGGGCAAACGGAGGCGGTTAGATGCCAAGTGATGGCTGGATGGCCCCTGAAAGGTGAACTGGCCTGGAGAAGTAACCTTTTATTTTGCATTAACAGAGTCTGCTTTTATAAGCGTATCGAGCCTTTCATGTTACAGAGAACACCAGTTACAGAGAACAACAGTTTGAGATGTCAGAAAGTGCATCTCAGCTGGAGAAGGGAACTTGTACAGAGTCCTTCTCCGTGGCTAAGGGAAATTGTACGTTATATTCTGGTTGTTCCTTGGGTTTTAAACTTGGAACCAAGAAGGTTTTTTGTTTTAAGAAGTACAGTGCCTTATTTATCCTTTTTGTTTAAAATTTGACAAAAGCTAAGAAGAAGCTGATTTATGTGACTAAAGGCTTGTATTTTATACTTGACGCACAAGCACTTGCTCTGTCACTGAGGAGGCCACCGCTGCACGTGCGTGAGCGAGCGAGCGAGCGAGGAGCCGGCAGCAGCTGCCTGTGCGCCCCTGGACAGGTGCACCTTGCAGACCGCAGCACAACTCCCCTCTCTGTCTTGTTTGGTTTTTATTTGAGTGATATTTGAAAGCTGAACCAAATCATTTCTATGGTTATGTGGAGAATGCAGGGGATTTATGATTATTATAAAAAATTGATATTTCTGTTTCCTTCTAAAACTCATACTGTTTACCACCCCTTCATCTTTTTTTCTTTAAATCATTTCAGATCATGTTCTCTAATTTGTGTGCCCATGGGACAAAGGATGTGCTAGAAACCCCACCCCTACCCCCCCCCAAGCTATGTTACTACTAACACTTGTCAGCCTCCAGTTTGGGGCCTTGCAAGCATGGTAGTACTGCTTTGTGAGGTCTGTGTTCTGTTTTGTGAAGTTGTTTGTGAACACCTTCGTCTTGTAGCTATCATTTGACCATTAGGATGAGTGACTTTGTTTCCCTTACGCAAGTAATGGAAGTCAAAGTGTTCTTCCCCGCAATAGGAAAGCTTACTCTTGTGCATACGTACCTGCGTGCGTCTGCAGGTAGTTGTTCTCCACAGGTGTCTCCTGGTACTAGCCTCACAGTAAAAGTTCTCCTTCTCCATGCAGTGTACCTGTAAAGTGAGTCATGAGCCATGGTCACATGGTTTGAAAGTGCCCGTGATACCACTTCCACACCAGACTGGGAGGACAGTGGCCCTGAAAGACTAGGCCACCCAGGCAGCTGAGAGGAGCTGCCCGAATCCCAGGCACAGCTGAGTGAAGTCCATCTGGGACCCTGTGCTGCGACTGTCCTTGCCTGGAGGAGGTATTGGTTCCAATCGATAGTTCCATCCCAGTGGCTAAATGGTTCCATGCTGCTCCTCCCTTACCATGTCACTCTGTCCCATGGCTCAGAAATGAGAACTGCAATAATTGAACGTGATGATGTTTGCCTTCCGTGGGTGGAGCCTGACACAGCCCGGTTGGCTTTACTCAGTGCCTATGACATCGCTCCATCATAACAGTGTGTACTTGACTTTTCCATTGGGCCAGTCAGCAAACCACTTGGTTGCTAAAGCCTCAGTTGGCTTTGACATGTTCTGTCACCAAAATAGGCTCGCATGGACAGCTGCTGCCCTGCTCTTATTAGGTTTCTACTTAGGTTGTTTCAGATCTTTTTAGAGCAATCCAGGTGGACTTCTTTTATATGCAAACCCTGATAAAACAGGCCTTCTACCTATTTTGCTATTGTTAAAGTTTGCTGCAGATAATGGAAACTTCTGATAATTGGGTAGGACTGGAGCATTTGATTCACGAGAAAATGAGAATTGTGTTGACGAAAGTCGTCGATTCCTGTTTTGTTTTTTTTAGCGTCGCCTCTGTCTCATGAGTGTTTGGGCTTTCCCCCGTCTCTGCCTCCTCCTTCCCTCCCCTTGCTTTCCCACTCCCCGTTATTTTATTATTATCCTTGACCTGGACCGTACGCAAGCTACCTATGGTGATGACACTGCTGAGTGTGTGCTCAGAACTCCTCAGCATTAAGTTGCACATAAGCATTAATATGTTTTGAGTAGTTTCGTTAAATATTTAAAAAGTGGTTTTAAGGCTTAAAAGAGCTTTTCTTATAGTTGCCACTGGGTATTGCTGTAGTGACTTAAACAGCCAAGGCTTGCCACTGTGAGGCGTGGCAATGCCTGGGGGCTTCCCTGTAAGGTGCTGGGTTAGGGTAGAGGGAGGACTGAGTGGGAAGTGGGGGGCTGCTTCCAGCCCCAGGGTTATAATTCATTCCATTACTTTTCTGATTGTGTTGTCATTTTTAAAATCTGCATTTGAGGGAGCTGCGTGGAAGTGTTTGTTATATATCCATCTAACAGTGCAGTAGGCATCTTTAAAATCAGCTTACACTTGATAGTAGTGACTGCGTTTATATAGATGGACACTCTACAAAATTAGGGCATTTAAGTTTTTTTAATCGTTTCACACTTATTGAACTCGTTTTTGGTGATTGGTTAATTCTGTTACTAGAAGATGGGGGGGGAACCCTCAAAACTTGATGGTAGAATTAGACCTTTCTACAGCCATAGCTGATGCTGGTAAAGTGTCCCTTCAACACCCCCAGAATTGGCCTTGATGCCTTTCTCCTTGTTTCCCCTCCTTCCTGTAGCCATTTTCAAATATGACTTGACACTGTTTGTGATGAACTCTGGCCCACAGTTTGGATCCTAAGTCTTAAAGGCACCCTTTTCCTGGCCCTACACTCAGTGAAGTGGCTGTCCTAAGGCTGGGGCTGAAGTTGAAGCCAGAGGACTGGTGTTTCCTCTGTTCAGCATCTGGGAGATGCCCAAGAAGCCTGGGATGGGCCTGCTGTCTGGCTGGGGTTCAGAGTCTTGTCCAGGTGCCTTCTCTGTTCTGGGAGCTTCCAGCATAGAAATGTTACCTGAGTCTACTGATCCACAGTTGCTAGTTCCTGGAATTCCCTGGGTTTTGCTATTCTTATTTTTTCATTGTTTGGTAGTGGTGGGGTTCTGTCCTACCTAAAGCACAGTCAGATGGTGGGGTTTGTGCCTCATCGTCCTATAATGGCTTAGAAAGAAGAGCCATCCATTTCCCCCATGCACCCTGTGTGTCACCAGCACTGGTGAATTTCTCACTGTGCTCATACGTCATCAGCAAACATCACTTCACTACGACAGATGCTATAAATCAGGATTTGGCCTGTTTGCAGCCGTGAGATGGCTTCTGGCGTGAGGGCACTCATTTGTGTTGCGTTTGTGTTGATCAGCAGATGTAAGAGTCCCATAGGAAATGACACCATGCTGTATGATGCAAAGTGGAGGTGCTGTGCTTGTCATAATACTGTAAACAGACTGAACGACCTGAGAAACTGTCCAGTAGCTGGGGAGCCACCTGCATTCCTGTGGCTGTAGGTCAGCCCGTGCAGGCCTTCTCTTAGCGTATTAGCGTACTTACTTCTGAGCTGTTACAGACATGCAAACTGTGGGCTGGCTGCTCGTGTGTATAAATAAAGTTTTATTGGCACATAACCATACCCATTTGCTTATTGATTGTCCTTGGAGCAGATTAAATACTTGGAGAAGTGGCCACAAAGCCTAAAATAGTTAATGTCTCTATCTTTGAAGAAGCCTGCTGACCCCTGCTTGAGAAATAACCCACTTTGAGAATAAATCTTTCCCATTCCTCTTCTTCTGCCTCATACCCTCTGTCTCCCCCCACCCCCCATCTCAGTTTTGTCTTAAGCTCTTGCTGTAATAAAGGCTTGTCGTTGAGACAGTTTCAGAGTAAGTCCTTCCCTCCAGCCTCACAGTGAAGCCACCACAGCCTGTAGACCAGAACCCCCGAACAAGTTGCCTTTGGAGTTCTTAAATTATACGGACTGTCCCCTGTTTCACTCCCATGGTTTCTAATCATAGAACTGACCCTAGCTTCACTTGTTTACACTAAAATAAGTCAAGACTGTCTGTGGTGAGATTAGCTGGGAGTGCGTCTATTGAACTTTGAGTTCTCAGTACCACATGTAGTTGTGGGAAAGGCTCACAGCATGGAGACCAAAGCACTATAATGTATCCACCACTGATCTCTTTTTATTAAAGGCATACTAACAATAAAATGGTAGTTTCTGAACTGCTGTACAAAAGGGTGAAAAACAATTAGAATGTGTTTAACCTGAGTATGACTAAGGAGTTATGGGTTGTATCTTTACATCAAATCCAGTCAGCTTTCAGAGTGTTAGTCCTCCCCTCCCCCCAAAACTCAAATAAAAGTTTCTATTCTGCATTCCAGAATGAAGTTGAACGTCATGTGGAAATTTTAAAACATGGGGACCGTGTCCCCTAGTTAGTGGACAGTGATGAAGATCGACTCTGGGCCTGATGTAAACAAGCAAGCATCCTTGCCCAATTATTTTGAATTCTTCCCTGTTGTTTTGTATTTACTTATGACTTATTATTCACGAAAATGCTAGAACACTTAAAATGTGAAATTGCATCTGTGTATGTATTCCCAAAGCATGTCTCAGGTCCCTGCCGCAGGTACTTTTCCCTGTGCTTGCTCCCAAATCCCTTGCAAGGAAAAGATACTTTTAAAAACTTAGAGCCAGCAGAACTAGGAAACTAGCCTTTTTGAGACAGCTTTCAAAATAATTCAACTCTTAAAAATTCTGAAGAGTCCACTCACCTACAAGGGACAGGTAGGGCTAGCCACTTTTCAGAGCCCGCTCACCTGAGGGATAGGTTATAGGGCTAGCCACTTTGCAGAGCCCGCTCACCTACAAGGGACGGGTTGTAGGACTAGTCACTTTGCAGCACCCTGCTGAGCAGTGTGCAAACTGTCCTTACTCATGCTTTTGTCTTTGGATCTGAGCCCATTGTCTCCTCCATAGAATCCTCCTCCTCTGGGTGTTAGGGTGCTGTGTTAACGTGCTCTGGACCCAGCCCCTCCTCTAGCAGACAGGCAGCATGTGTGCCAAGGAAGGAGACACTGAAGCTCACACACCCTGTGGGTCCGTCCCCTTTGACAGGGTATGCAGTCTGTAAGCCGTTTGAATGCATAGACTGCCTGCCTGGAACAGCATCCAGGTGCCCAAGGAATTAGAATAAACCAGAGGTTGGATGAATGGACATAACACTTTTGAATTGGACAAGCAGAGATAACAAAACAATTAGCAAA